GAGATTCAGCTGGGTTCCAGGTGAGTCTCTCGAAAGAACCAAATTAGTTTGCAAATGAGTGTATATTTGCTAAAACCTCTTCAATAGCTCCTTACCTTCTCGAGAAATACATTCATTTGAAAATCAATCTGGTTTTCACGAGATACTCAACTGGAGCTCTCGTTTATGAAATTCTACAACTGAATGTGCTGCACACAGGCCGCCTCATGTATCAGTTGGCACGATATTTGAGATATCGCAGTATATTTTCATGAAGGAAACTACTCACAAGGTTGCTGAAAACTCTTCGACAGCCCACGACCGGCTTCACCCTTCTTGGGGCTCACTAAGTAGGCGCGGTCCCCGAGTTTTCGTCAACCTTATGTTCTACGTGAACTCAAACTGGATTGTTTTCGAGAAATACACTCATTTGCAAATCATTTGCAAATGAAAAACAGCTCACTACCTGTTTCGCCCTACTTGAGGTGGGCGATTCAGCTGCATGAGGTTGGACAAAAATAATTGCAGCTGAAGATCAGCGAAACTGAAAATCCTACTGCAGCTCTGTTCATTCGTTAATCATTTCCGACGTGACTGCAGTCCTCAGCAGTGATTTCGTGCAATGGCTACAAGACGCATTCAGAAAGATTTATGGAGAAATAGAGAGGTCAAAGATCAGCTGTTTGTAGAATCTGTAAGTGGGACAATGTTTAAACCCTCAAGACTCCTGCGCCCTTATCTACAAAAACAGCATTAGATTCTGAACTGAACGGTCGCGAAACTAAAGCAATGCTGATAAGGGTTCATTAATCTTCTTGAACCCCATTGTAACACAAAAAACGAACGATTCCATTCGACTTTGTGGTGATTTCTCAGTGAACCTAAACATGTCTTTGAACATACATCAGTGTCCGTTCTGCGTGCCGGAAGATGCATTTGCCATTTACGTTTCCAAAGTACCCTCTATGGTAGATTGTTCTGACGCACACCGTAGCGACGGCAAACGTCGGTTCTGAAATGAACAGATACGGAAATTGGAAGAACACGGCATACAAACCACACAATGACACAGGTTGGGTGACGCAGGAGGGAGGCAACATTGGGGATGTATTGAAGCGGAACCGGAAGGCACACGTGAAGTAAGGTACCAAAATAGCTCAAGGTCACCCATATACATGAACAAGCGGACTACTGCTTCCTGCTTAAGGCTCATTGTGGCTGATCAGGGGTATCGGTATTAGGGAGAGGTGTACACATACGATCAAAGCATGTTACCAGGTAAATTCTAGTTTCACTTACGTTACAATACCTCCAATTTGAATTGAAAATTGAGTTACAAAGACCCGCTGACAGTAAACGCTCCTCGTGGGCTTTTTCCGTTACAACCGACCGTCGTTTGATATCAACTGCGTGAACGCAATAAACCAGAAAATGAAGAATGCATTGCTTGGTCAGTTTTCCTTCTCCATTTTTTACGATATCGTCCCTGTAAGTCCAGCACCATAAGAGCATAAAACGTACTAAGAACGATACACGTATATTGGTAATGCACTACTCTTAAGGTTGCTGCAAATTCGTCGACAGCCCACGACTAAGAACGAGTTTTCAACCGAATGTGAATTCATTTTGCAGACGGAAAAATGTGGATATTTCCTGCGTCAAGCTAGTTATCCGGAATTTATTGTCGATCCCATTGGTGGTTGTGCATTATCAGCTAAAAATACCTCAGTTGTAAACTACGTTTCTTCGAACGAACAAACGACTACAGTTAGAGATTAACGTGTTTTCCCCAACATGCATAAACAGAGACTGGTCTTAGACAATCCATCATACAAGGACACAAAGTACGTCTGGTCCAGTGCGTATTAGTCCGTACTCAATGACGTCAAGAGAATCCTGTCATCTGATATCGTGATTCTAATCTCCCTACGCTTGTGGTTTCTGATGATTCTGACTCTAGTACTGACAGTTATCCAAAAATATTCGGTTTGTTTGTGCTTCACAAGCTCCGTTGGCTCGTAAGGTTGCGGTAATCTCTCCGATAACCTTGTGCCAAATGCGTTCAGTCGGGAAAGTATAATTAACTGTTTTGAATGTCTTACCAACTGAAACTTGCGGCTGTTTTTGTGAAACACATTCAATTAAAGAACTCCATAAACGGTAGATTCATCTGAATCTCCTGATAAGACCAAATTAATTTGCAAATTAGCGTATCTTACCAAATGGCTGGGTTCTCATTTTTTCAAAAAAGCTAAAAAGTCCCGTAAAATTTTGCACGTCGTCCTGGCACACTGCGCACAGACCATATCCGAATTCGCTACGTCGAAAGGTCACGCGGCTAACAAGCTTTGAAGGTGCGTTACATAGCTAATCATTTATGATTGTTTCCTCAAGTGCATCCAGATAAAAGGTTTGGTCGACCGCAAGTCCTTTCCAGACTAATTGCACGTAAGTCAATTGGCCACTCAGGTGAGGACGTGATCATTTCTCTCATAGGTTTGGCCTCGATGTGAAGTTTCGTCCTTCGAACATTTGTGGACGACTCTTCGGTACTGTCGGATCGCATACTGAAACCAACAATCCTTAGAGTACCTGTCACATAAATTTTTCATTTGACTCACCCAAGGATAATAGGCATAGAAGCCTTGGTGCATTGTCGCACGTATTAGTCAGGGACCTTTTAGGACATTGAGAGCACGCAGAAATCACATCAATGGTGTGGATTGGACGCAAAAGCACCCTTCAAACTCAGTTGTACTCCTGACTCGCACTAGATGGAATCTGGGAAAGAATTCATACGGAATTTTCTAGTCAGCTGAACAGCAAAGACTTTATATATTTTTAGATACCTATTCAAAACGATCCACGATGATCCAATCCATCAACTACCACAATCTTGCGCCTAAAGTGCATTTTTGCTGAGTTTGGTTGCCCAGAAATACTTGTAAGTAATAAAAAACGGTTTCACTTTCAGCGCCATTTTATCACTTTTCAAGTCATTCGGTGTAGGCCAAATCCGCATTTCGCCATACCATCCTTGATCTGAGGACGTTTCTTCGTTACATTCAGAAGGGTTCTTCAGAAACTGAAAGGGTAGAGGAGGACGAGTGATGTTTTGGATGCCTTCATGCTTGTCCATCGTTCTACACTAATCACGGCTGTACGAAACGGAGGTTGACGAGCTGAGGCTCTTTTTGAGTGGCCAATGAGAACAGCACTCAATTCAGTGTTTCCTGGAAAACATTAGAACATCAAGTTTTTGGGCAGTTTAACTGAAGTAATGGAGCCAGGATACGATAAATCTATCCAGATGGCGCTGTATACATTCTAACATTTCATGGTCCCGAACGTGGCTGGGTACATGGTACTGTGACTGATTGACGAGGTAACGCGTAATATGAACTCGATATGTCGTCCAGCTATAGCTATCATGCCACTCGAAGGAAACAAGGGGGCTAGGATACTGTCAGGTCTCCCGAGCCTAAACACGGGAAGTCGAGAGTCAGAGGTCGGGTTCGAACCACGAACCTTCCGGTGCAATGTGGGCCAGATCCCTCTAGCAAGTCACGATTTCACCCAATACATTGGAATCTTGGCAGGTCTGTTTGTCTTCAACCCTGTTTCTCAATTTTTGAGGCCCGGGCCCCTGTTTCAAGACCCGTACTTTCAACATGCGCCGTCCAAGCAAGCCCTGCATTGTCAGTCTTCTCCCGCCTTCTTCTGTTCGCAGGCTCGCCTCACTTCCCTCTCTTCGTTCCCGCTGTACGTCTGAAATGGAGAATGTGCTGACCTAGCGATCCGTAGCGAAAAATATCGGGACAATGGTGAATTGTCCTAGGAGCTGACGTGGATGGCGTCGTAAGTTCACTTCCTTTACTCAGATTCTATTCTGAATAGGGTAATATTAATGTCCATCAACAGTGAGGATCAACTCAAGTAATCTCGCATTCGCGGTCTTTGGGTTAGAATAAAGCAAGATGGACAAACATCATACAATACACCTTGGCATATTCGGGTAATCAGTTTTACCCCCATATAAGAGCTTCAAAAATACCGCAAAGAATTCTCGGTAAAGTGTCCAGGTTGCTGGAAAGTGCCCTAATAATTTGCACTCTCACGGCTTCAAAAATTACAAGTGAGTGAATTTTGAATAGCGGACGCAAGCTGGTAGATGTGATCCAGGGTGTTCTATCAGACTTACCAGTAGCTGGGATATCTAGATAAATTGGACAGGCGAAAGCTTGAAAGATAACAACTAGCGAAGATGGGAGAGGCTCTAGAGTCCCATGTGCCTATCATTAACCCGCTGTACGCAAGGTGATAGATAATCCAAATAGCGTACAAAAGCGACCGTCAATGTAACATTTTTGTCCACTTCATGACTGTGTGTGTGCCGAGAAGGCTCAAAGATCCCAAACCAAAGTCTATGGCATGGAAACTTAGCTTCAAGGCAGTCCTCCTTGGAGCAGTGCTCTCAAAGTTGTCTAACATGAGGCGTACATGTGCTCAACCCTTAATCTGAGAAGTCACATCTCTGTGTATTGACATTCATGGATTGCACAGTTCCCCGTTAGATCACCATTGTCATTATCACAGACAGTAAGGTTGGGAGGGGCTGCCTTGGGCGTCCGTGTATTCGAATAGTTGAAACAGGACTGTGGAATTAATAGGTGAGTGTTAATACGAGTGCATGAGAAGTGAGTCAGGTGACGCCATAACCCATATGACAGACATGGAAATGCACCTCAATGTAGTCTAAATTAGCGGGTGGTTTGCGGAGTTCAGGTTCGTCTGAAGTGTAGTAGCTTCTTGGCTATAACCGGATGCGGAAAACCACAAAAGTGTCTGTCTACAAAGACGCACACCGGACTGCTTTTGCTTTTGAGCATGTTATGGCTACAAGTTATGTCGACGACGACAAAGCTGTTGTTTCTGCTAAGCTGTAGGAAATAAGTGACAGTAATCAGAAGTGGAGTGAGGTTCGGAAGTAATGCTCTCAATTAGCGGATTCGACACCAAGTACCCGTCGCTACAGCTATGTCGGTGAGTGCACCTATGAAAAAGTATACCCTTTTCGAAACTCAGATACTATCTCAATACCATTTGAACTGTCGACCAACTTGTATACACTTGTCTTTAACTTCAACTTCGGGGCTTACGATAAACCCGACATCGAAACATCAGTGTGCAGATCGATCTTTCCTCTTCGATCTTTCCTCCTCTTGAGCAATAAGAAAGTCTGTCCTTTAAAAAGTAAGAGGTATGAAAAATTTTGTCTAGGTTATGTGATTTCTTCTACATTTTTCCCCTTTAAAGATGCCCGTTAAGTGAAAGTGTCTTCCGGAAAACGAGAACTGCAGTGGCTACCAGTATGACCAATGAACACATTATTTTCAGGAGGTTAATGTTAATTTTTCAAGCGTGAGTGTATCTGACCGGTGAAGGACCATTGTCGATCGTTGGATTAGGACATCGTGCATTGTCGAGGCCTCATAAACAACGTCGCTCATAGGTATGGGCCTAGTAGCTGCATCATCTGACTCGTTGTATAGAATCGAGAATGGATACCATTCACGGAGATGCATATTCGCACTAATGCTGCACAATGCGTTGAGTTATTTTGATTACAATACTTCACTTGGGGCAAGTTTCCCTAAAAGCAGTGTTGTTAGGAAATTCGGTGAATTATATCATCAAATTTGCTACGTCCGGTGGGTATCACTCATCCAAACGTATTCTAACATCCACCTGGTTGTACCACACAGTAGAAAGCTACGACGAGAGCTACGACGTTATCAAAGCTACAAGTTCATAATGAAGCATGGTTCTGCAAATTATCTGCATGGCTGATTTATTTAACTGAGTGAAACTTCAAGGTCATCAGTGAACACAGGCTCTGAAAACTGCGCACGCGAATAGCGGTAAAACGTGAATCCCATATGAGGGACGAAACTTGCTGATAGTTCTGCAGCTCAGAAAATCTATGAGCCTTCTACAAACTACATGGTCCCTGTGGATACAAAATGTGAGAAGGTGCCACATCTGTAAATACATTTCGCCTCGCTGGTCAGATACCGAATAAGAATGATAAGCTTATCTTCCAGCTCGTAGGGAACATGAAGACAGAGGCATGATCGGGCTGCCACAACCTGAACACGGTGGGCAACAAGGACTTAACAGCTGTTACTCCGAATTATCACCGCGGAGGACGAATTCACTATTGTCGGATAAACAGTGCGAGTTTGTGAACACGTAAGGCCTGCAGATAATGATAATCCCTGCAAACAACAGAGTTCTGCATTTTAACCGGCAAAATATGCCACGAAGACCATGGCATCAATAATACCGGACAGCTGATCCACACGACTAGCGTGCGGCTGTGTTCACGGTGCCTGATCAGTTGACCGAAGCCCGCACATCCATCTCTACCAGGGAAAGGTTCAAAAGTGTACCACATGAAAAAGTGAACTGTATTGGTCGTTTTAATTAATACAATTGTCCGTTCGCGAGGCGTATGACCCACCTGGTACGCAGTTTTTATTGAACTTTTTACATACTGAAATGAGAGGGAGGTATATATTAGGTTGGCGAAATACCAAAATGAGGCAGGCGGCTGGCAGACAGCGAGCAATACGTACCATGTACACAAAGCACTTCAGCAGTGATGACCCCGTAGAGATTTGTTCATATCGCACCATCCCCAATGAACGATTCGGATTGCGTGATTTCTTGTAGCTTGGTAGCTACAAACTATGACCATCAAGAAATACGAGACCTACATGGAATGTATGGGGCTTAATTGAGAGATGAACGGTTTGGGGTTGATGGGCCTTGTATGAATCAAATGAAATCATTGTCGGCATTTTCCACTAGCTTTCCACTAGCCCTTTCCACCGTCGCGGATTGTGCATGTACAGTCCATCTGCGCACAGTATATGACCATTGGGTCGTAAAATATGAGACCAATCGCAGGTCCGTGCGGGTGGAGTAGTTGCAGATCTTCCCTGATATGTGTGCTCGTATTATGATCAACAAACAACCTACTGTACGGCTGTGTCCATACGGTGGACTACGTGCTGGATGTTCGCAGTGTCCCTGTGACAAAAAATACACGCATGTTATATGATAGCTTCCTGAATGTGCTTCTAATGTGGAAGTAGCACAAGTGAACTGCGCAGCCGAACACTATTCTCGCTTCCCGCATTTGTGCAGCCAACACGCCCATAAAACGCCTTCACTCTATACTGCCGGCCCATCATTTACTTTACCAAGCCAAACAGTCGAAGCATGGGAGCAAACTGTTCACTTTCCACGAAGGTGTACATAACGGAAGGACCCATTCCCATGTCATCCGCGATCAGGAAGGTGCTTGGCCTGCATCAAGACGCCAGGTATTAGTTGCTTTTAAAAAACATACCGAAACGCCTTATTGCGTGCGTTCCATCGACATTTAATACATCTGGAAAAATTGAAACAACGCTAGGGCCATGCCTTCGACGCACAATGCTATTTCTGCAAATCCTTTGTAAGTGAAACAAAATGCTTTGGGCCAAATTTTTGCATTTTGTTGCATACGTGCTCAAACCAAAATCACCCTAATCTAACCTCAGTTTTTAGCGATTTTTCAGATTAATCCTACCTCAAAACTAATGGCGCGCATTCAACTTTCAGCTTGCTTGCTATGTCTTCAGAAGTGACTCCACAGGCATTGCTCGAAAAATTAGGGGCCGCATCCTTTTCATCCATCGCAGCGTTTGAGAAGGCATTAAAATAATGCATGTAAAATAACCATGTGGTGTTTGTGCGTTCGTCTAGTGGTCAAAGTACGACGTTGTTTTGCGTTACGGACGGATGTACCAAAGATGAAGCGAGCGGCCTGAGTACGTAGCTTTCGTGCAGCCAACCGATTAGGCATCATGGACCCCTAGCTATATATTCGTCCTGTGCGTCAGCTATGTTCGTTCGGCCGTCCGCTACGATCAACGTCATGTTCGTCCCGGAATATTCAGCAATTTATAATGGAATACGCCGCTGTTTAACAACAAAAGTGCATGTTATTCCGGCATCAATGAATGTGGCTACCGGTGCACTCTAATGGCAACCATCAAACAAAATTGTTATTTATTTATTCATTATTCACGCACATTTTACATCCAAAAGACCGCTTGGTTTCTAGAATCTTCAAAGGATTATCTCAGCCACAAGGCTTTCTGCAAGTTTTGTCCATCGCAAGTGATTCACTTTTTTTCGCACTATTACATTAGGTGCTTGATGACCTTGAAAATTTGATCACTTAAACAAATTACCCATGTAGATAATGTGCATAATGATTCTCTATATATAGACGTTCTACATGAGGAAGGGGCAACCCTGAAGGTGTCATACCTTTCGAGAAATAGATTCCATCGTGCGAGTACTGGAGGATCACGCTAGTTGATCAAGAGGCTGCTAAACAGAAGCACACCCAAATCATTTTCTCTTAAACCGTAGGGTTTTCGAAGTTGTGACCTTTACGGGGAGTAAGCCTAATTGGCCTGATCCCCTCGGTGATAGGT